ATTTCGAGTTTTGTTTGGGGAATTGACGTCGGATTTGGTTAATTTTGGTATGGTTAGACTTGTGAGTGAATGGGGGTTCATAATCCGTAAATTTTACCCGATTCCGAGATGTGGGCCCGGGAGCATTTTGGTCATTTTTCCTGATTTCGCGTATTAGCTTAGAATTAATTAGTGAAATCAGTTACTTGAAGTTATATTTACATTATGGAATTGATTTGAATAGATTTAGGCCATTTGGAGTCGAGTACTCGTGGCAAGAGCGTGGTTTCGGGTTGATTTTGAGTCGGTTCGAGGTTAGTGGCTTGCCTAACCTTGTGTGGGGGAACTCCCCTTAGAATTTCGTATTGTTGATATTTGAAATGCCTTGTACGTGAGGTGACGAGTGTGTACTTGTTCTAATTGTTGAAAATCCTGTTTTCATTAAGTAACTATAATTGTGTTTCCTTTCCTATTTATACTACTTGCAATTTAAGCCTGCTGTTAGCTTAGGGAAGCATGTCTAATTGTCTTTATTACTTTACTTGCTCAAACTGCCTTATTTGGATTATGTGCAACATGTTAGGTTATAATTACCTGTTTTACCTTGGTATGAAATTTGAATTGAATTGAGTATTCTTCGTGTTGCTGTTGTGTGTTTACTTTGGGACTACGGGACGTTATCCTGGGAGATCCCCCTGTCTGTTTACTTTGGGATTATGGATTTGTATTCTGGTAGATCCCCCTGCACATTTGTATTGGAACTACGGGATTGCACCTAGTAGATTCACCTAGTATTGGGTATTTACATTTGGGACTACGGATCGGGATTTCGGTAGATCCCCGCGCACTATGAGTTGGACTACGGGACGACACCCGGGAGATCCATTGGATATTTATATTTGGGGACTATAGGACGGCATCCTGGGAGATCCCTGATTGTTATCTCTATATTGAGTTGTATTCCTTCTGTGATTATTTTGTCTCTATTATAGTTGTTGTTATTCTTATTATCATGTATTATTTCATACTGTTAGCATTTAATTATATTGGCGTATTCTATACTGTTTTACCTCATTTTTCAGCTATAATCATTAGGGCCCTGACCTTCCTCGTCACTACTCGACCGAGGTTAGGCTTCGCACTTACTGAGTACCGTTGTAGTGTACTCATGCCCTTTCTGCACATGTTTTTCATGTGCAGATCCAGGTACTTCAATTCAGTCCTACTATCCTTGAGGCGAGGCGATTCTCCTGAGACTTCGAGGTATATCTGTCGCATCCGCATACTAAGGTGTCCCTTTCCATTCTCTCTCATAGTATTAGCCCTTCTGTATTTACTTTTGTTTAGACATTCTGGAGTTAGACACTTGTAGTTATTCAACAGTTTGTGATTTCTTGAGATTCCAGGTTTTGGGAAGTTGTTCAGTTTGAGAGATTATATTGTATATGCCGAGCGACATCTTTAAACCTTCACTATGTTAATTTCGCAGTTTTTATTCGTTTTATCTGTTGTTTTCCCTTTTTCCGCAATTGTTAGGCTTGCCTAGTCATAGAGACTAGGCGGCGTCACGATAGTTCACGGAGGGCGAACTGGGATCGTGATAGAATAAATTATCAATATTGATAAAGTTCAAATTTACACCATGAGATGTGCAATTATTAATAAACTCCAAGTTTATTATGATATGGGTTTTTATATCAATAAACATCCACTTTATTGTGGTATTCTTTTATTTGTGTAGTACAAACTTGAGAATAAAGAGAGTAGCTTTTCGCATATATATTATGCCGCTACAAGTTGTAGTAATAGAAGATATCAAATCTTTCCTTTATTTATAGTCTCAATATAACCAACCGCTTTCGTGTATGCTTTGAAAACTGAATAAGTTTCTTTGAGACTTACTACAACACAATACCTTATTGGTAATCAATTGTGTTTCTCCAAAATAGTATAATTGGCTCTTGCAGAGTTCTCAATTAATTTTGTACTACCACATATTCATCAACATTCATATGGTAAATATCTCTTTCAAGAAGGAAGTTATACCATTATGGTTATGGTCAAAATTATATGCAAGATCTGTTTCTTGCATTACCATTGTCTTTAAATAATCACATTGCCAAAATATTTTGGCGTACAATAAGTATGTGACCAATGATCATTTATGCCATAATAATGACATTATTTTCTTATTTCCTCTCAAACCTCCTTCTAGAGGTGAGTATGGTATATACCACTAGCACACTCATATTCTTCCAAGAATAAATATGTATTCATAAATCACATGTTGTCACATTCACATCATGAATGGACCATAATCATCTATATGTGCTTTACAAAATCTCATGTCAAATCGATGACAAATATTACTTTCACATAGTGAAGGACTATTTTGAGAATTTTATTGTTCTCATTACCACAATAATGACGATTATAATTTCGTCTATTGTCGCGTCCACATCCATTGATACATTCATAGTAATTTGTCTTCTTTCAGACTTATCACATACTGCTATCACATTCTCTTAAGGGAATGAGAATGGAGCAAATTCAATGGGACGAGTTTTCAATTCTTTGCCCACAATCATACATGAATTTGATCATGGCAATACAGAGAAATTTTACCACTTCGAGTGGTTATAATTTCTTACTAACTCCATTAGAGTTATAATCAAAATTTATTGTTTTTTCTTATATTTAAAATCAAATTATAGAATTTCAAGAATTTAAAAGAAAAAATTTACCCTAAATTCAGAAGAAAATTCATGGAACAACTGACAATCATTAGGCTCAATATTATGTAAAAATTGAGCATCATGCATGTATCCAAAGCCATAGTGTTGAAGATTTGCGTGAGGCCCTCCGAATTGGCAGGAACTAGTCCGTGAAAAGGATAGAGGGGTAGTAGGGAACTGGAATGATGATCAGAAAATAATATACATAGGATGAAAATTTGCAAGAAGTTTTATAACGGGGAGGAGTGTCCTTATGGAGATAAGTGTAATTTTCTTCATGAACGTCCTCCGAAATTTAAGACTGACATTCCAAGGCAAAGAGAGAGTTCTGCAATAAGCATTGGAACTACGAGTAACAGAAGTAATCTCGAGCATAATGAGATTAGCAAGCATGGAATTGCAGATTCAGCTGCTGTCCGAATTAAGCCTATATATTCCATGGGTGGTTTAATTTCTCGTACATTAGACAACTATTTAATAGTATATCTATAAATTAAAACAACCGCCCTCTACTCAATTGGTTAAAATCTCGTGTTGATAATGTGTGATGAAAACAATAAAAGAAAAAGAACAATATTACAAAGGAAGAGAGAGGAAATTCTTATTGAATTTTGGGATGAATTATAATAGAATATAACCCTTTATTTATAGGGAAAGAGTGACTTAGCCACCAAGTAAGAAACCTTAGAATCTCTCTAAATATAGACATTCACCATAAATAAAATTCTATTTATAACAAAAAGGGGTTTTTCCATTCATGCCTTCAAAATGAGCTACTGCTCAATACATATAGCTCAGGACATAGCAATGACGTAAGGACCAAAAAGAAATAATGAAACTTACAAAGGGGTAGTAAAATAATAAGATAAACTAGCTTAGTGAATTAAAATGTAAGAAATGAAACTTGTGAACTAATTAGCTGACCCCTTTCATTAACTTCACCGTATAACCCATTGTACAAGCTTCAGCTGTAGCTTCAACCTCTTCCATTTTAAATCGTAAAGGAAATAAGAGTTAACGAAGTGCGGAAACAGCAGAAAAATCTCTTTGCTTTTTTTCCCCCTTCAAAGTACTCAATTCCACCATATTTTCAAGGCTCTTATTATTGCACTTGACATACGCTTAAAGAGAAAAAGTGGTGACAAACAGCAAGGAAAAGGTTTTTTCAGAAACATAGACAAGTGGTTTCTGATGAGGTAAGAGCAATGTTGGGAGAATGATTGAGATTTATCACCTACTATATAAGCAAAAGCAAAAGATCCACGCTCCTCTACTACACTCGTCGCAGCCAATTTTGCTCCATCTTTACAATACAACTAATTTTTCCAATATAGTAAATACTACTGCTGTCTCTTAACCAAGGGGCTGTATCTCAGAATTCAGATGATAAGAGCCACAAACGCCTTTTAACTCTAGCGTTGTGAACTTGCTCACATTGCATGTTCCAAACTCAGATCAAGAATGACAGTTGCCATAAGTTGACAATCGATGTAAAATAATTAACTTGTGAAAAATCCTCGATGAATACTGCCTGTCATCTGATATCATTTTCCTTGTTTTTGCAAAACCAACCAACAGCAACTGACACTTGGCCTTGGAACAAGGAATGATAAGCCCACATACAAGAATGAACCAGGGAGAGAAATCATTAAAAAGCCAATGACAAGTAAATAAGGAAAAATAGAGAACAGTTGTCCCTTAGCAACAGGTAGCTTACCCAGTGAAATAGTCGACATGTAAGCTGGCCCAGCAACTACCTTTACCCAAAAATTAATGAATATCCACATAAATAGGACAGATTCAAGTTGAGAGCATGCTGTCAGTCTTTGAGACACAAACAGTCACTTTTCTCATTTTACAGCTGTATCTGTACCTCAGCAATAGGCAGTCAAGATTCATGTGGCCCTAATCAATTAAATAAACTTATGAAGGTCAGGCTACAATAGCGAATGCCAGAAAGACCACAAGGATTTCAAAATTAGTAGTCTTTTTGCTTCGACAACTAGATTGTTACACAGACCATCTTTCCCCAGTAATAGTCCATTGAGTCAACTGCAGCACCTTAAACAAAATACAGCGTGCTTGCAGATTTGGATACACAATAATGACCAGCATAGTTTTCTCCTGATCAAACAGTCTGCAGTGGATGAGACCCTTTGCAATGAAATCAATTCCATGGTCCTCTACTGCTTGTTAACGATGGGTAAGATGCAACACTTTCCCATCAAATAGTCAACTTAAATCTACTAATTCAATGATCAGCTTGAGAGAGAGAGAGAGAGAGTCTAAACGATAAAACAACTTCGTCGACCTGATAATCAACAAGGTTAGATACAAGGAGACCATCTTGTTTTTCCATCAACACTAGAAATATTTACAGATAACAGTGTTTGCCATCAACAACTGTACCAACATGTCAGCATGATAAGTATAGTCTGGAGATGAAACTTAAACACTAGCAAATCTCAGTATCAAACTTGAGAGATATGCCCATGCTGAAGAGCTCCTGGCACAATAACTTCGCACCATATGGCACATTAACCTTCACTATATCTTCAACTGATTCACAGAAGCGGCAATAAGGACCTCTTACCTTACCACCTTGAACAGACCTCTGGATTACATTTGCCATGTTCTTGCACTTCCCACAGACGTGCATTTGGGAGGAGTCACTGAGTGTGAAAAGGCGTTCATGCAAGTTCGCTGCAGCACCATGAGCTATAAGACAGTCACGCTCCATTTCACCAAATTTAATTCCACCAAAGCGTTTTCTGTCTGCCACAGGTTGGCGAGTAAGGGGATGGACTGGTCCGGTATTACGGAACTTCACTTTGTCTTCAGCCATATGAATGAGGCGTTGGTAGAATGTTGGGCCCATGAAGATCAGGTTTTGACCCATTTCACCCGTACGGCCATTGTAAACTCTCTCATTTCCCCATTTTGAGAAACCTCGCCTGCAGGTCATATACCATTTAATAGTCAATGTCAAATCACCAGAATTCATGATTGAACAAGCACTGCCTAACTGGTTGCACAATTATGTGATTATGAAAAGTGATACTGCTTAGAGATATCATACCCATGAAGCTGCTCTATTATGGCATCAACTGATAAAGTGGAAAAGGGAGTGGCATATTTTTGACCGCCACCTAGGGCAATGCCCTTCCCTAAAGCGGCTTCCAGCAGCTGACCAGGGGTTTGCCTTGAAGGAAATGCATGAGGATTGATTACAATGTCTGGAACAATCCCTTGAGCTGTAAAAGGGAAATTCTCCTGAGATTCCAGAAATCCAAGGACACCCTTTTGTCCATGCATGCTGGAGAACTTGTCTCCAAGACATGGAGAACGAACCTGCACAGAATATACAAGAATAGTGCAATCAATGAAAGTGAATTAGGATTAGTTATATAGTGTCTTCCAGGTATTCTGAGTTTCATGTTTCTTTTCTCGAGGAAGGACAGGGTGGAAGAAAGGTAAAGATGGGTAGTAGGTGACTGACATTTTCTCACATGTATCTTCGAATCATAACACAGAGACCATAATGCTTTACAGCTAACAGCTTTCTTTGCTAACTCTTAACAGCACAAAAACTTCTAAATAGATATATCAAATGATGTACTGCAGTATCCTGGATAATTGTAAACGTGAGAAAGTTCAATTTGTGTCACGACTTAGTATCTGCTGTTGGTACTTGGGACCTTGTCCCATATGTCAAAGACAAGGGGCTTAGACAGCTTATGAGCTCCCTCCCACTCACCTCCTGAGGCATCTTTTCAGGACAAAAAATCCCACACCATGTTGGTAGCAGAGTAATACCCCACGAGGATTTGTTGAAGGATCCAGCACTAAAGGGCAGACCCCTTGCAGTTGGCAGCCACAAACCCCTTGTTGGGGGTAGAGGCCGCACTATTGATACATTGGACATTTTTAACATTGGTTGAAAACAAGGAGCTTGGGTAGTTTATAAGCTCCCTCACCATTATCACCCAGTGATTTTCCTTTACTGGATAAAACCCCTGACAGAGGATAATACTTCCTAAGGACCCACTGACTTATTCAGAATTTTTTACATGAATCAGTCCTTGAAACATCAGGCTGAAGATTTTCTACAATGGCTTCCAGTTTTGAAGCTTTAGCATAGTTTAGTAATGCTACATATGGACAAATCTGCTTTATTCAAGTAACTGGCTAGTCTTTCAATGGGTTCATTAATGAGAGTTCAAAGTACTTGAAGCTACATATGGTCTGCATAGCATTTGTTCTCCTTTTATCATGAAGACATCCCCCGCAAAATGCAACTACTTCAATAAGCTTTCTAAATTGCCTGCAAACAGCTCTCCAAAGACTTAATATAGTTTTCTAGATAACGGCTTGTTTCTCATAAACATGTATCATAACAAAAAAAAAAGCTCCATAAGGTATATACAGAGTCACATAAGTAGAAGNCTCGTCCAATTTTACTCTGGGTTTTCCCAAAGTTAACAGAATCCTCAATCTTTAGCTTCTTTCCGATAGCTTCCTTATTGTCAACCTCAGCCTTGTAGCTCCTAACATGCTCCGACCGAAACATTCCACGCTCCAGTGATGCACAATTCATAACCAATGAATCTTCTTGGTTATAGCCAAGGTGAACATTCACTGCAACAATAGCACATTGACCATTGTAGTATTCAGGCCGTGGAAGCATTCCTTTCTGGCTATGAGTATATTTGGGCTTCCCAAGGGAATCTGACAACATTGTCCGGAAAAGTGGCCTCTGAGGATAATACAATTGATGGGTATTTGTATCAACTCTAATGTTTGGATTCACTGTTGAAAACCCAATTGCCTGCTGAGAGTGCTTTTCAGACTGATAGAGGACTCTCCTAGCATGATCATGATTTGCAAAAGGGATAATACCACAGCTCAAGCCCAACAGGAATGACATGTCTAACTCACAATGGGTATACTTGGCAGGTGGGTTCTCCTTATCTGCTGTTAAGAGGTATTCAACTCCCCATGCAGTTCGACAGTCTTCTTCTTCTTCAGGTCCTATAAGCTCAATAATCCCATTGTCCAGAAGAGATTGAAAGCCACAGTCTCCCCCTTTCAAAGCTTTGATTTTCTTTAGATTTGAAACAACAAGAAGAGGGCGCAGAATCCTTCCCGCATCAGAAAACATGCGAACTTCACCCTGCTGCTCATCTCTCTTAACTTCAACCTAGAAGAAAATTTTAGATTGTTCAGTGTATGTATATCAAATTAACAAATCTTATAGGACAATATACAAAATATCCATATGCAAAGAGAGACTTTACGCAGCACATCACATGCTAAGGAAAAAGGTACTGGGTTGAATTTCTTCAGTCAAGAAGGTACATCAACTTCCATGCTTTAAACTTGCATGGTATATCAATTAGTGCTAGAAGAAATGACAAAATCAATTGCCAAATTAGTGATAAGGTTATTTAATAGAGAACTACTGGATTTGATGTTATAGTTTGAATCCTTCAATCTTTAAGATATAAGTATTATTTGGATAGTTTTGAATTTCTGCACACTGCAAAGAGATATTTCCCATTATCGGAAGGAAAAAAAAGAGGTATTTCGCAAAAGGGAAGAATATCACAGAAATAGAGTGGACAGAGTCGAGGATTCCAACTATTCCAAATTCATTGTCACCTCATCCTTTTTGCATTCCTAATATCATATCTCTACTATAGTGTATGGTTATCCTGAAAACAATTATTTCCATTTGAGGAAAGACGAGATAAAGTTGCTCCAGCGGTAGAACCCTATACTTCCAACCAAGACACTGGAAGTTCAGGTCACCATGGGAAAAAAGAGCACAACCCACTGTCAGCTTGAGAGTTCGGGATTTAACAGCATAGAAGTTATTCTACATTCAATACCATATCCCACAAAAGTCACATCTGTTTCAGGAACAAAGAGAAAAGATGAGTCTTTCACTTTTGGTTAATAGTTATATAATCGCCCTTTTAATGAATTAATGAACGTACAAGCAATATAACCAAACATTCTACAGGAAGTTTTATGACTGCTGCACATAATTAAATGAAAATGATCATCAGTTGACCTGGTGACACTTTAATCCTGCAGTACTATATGTTATTTTACCCATAAAAATGATATTTACATTCAATCAATATACCATAAACTTGAGGAACAAAGAAAAAAAGACAGGTGTTTTACATTTTGGTTTACAGTTTGACAATCATCCTTATGATGACTTGATGACATACTCATATATAAACAAGCGTTCCATTTTATCCTCGGGAAAAATAAACAGGGACGTGTGCGAGCACGCAACACACGAAACAAATATTCCTTAACTAAATCAAAATGATGATGGGTTAACCTGATGTGGGACCTTATTCCTGCGGCCCTAACGTGATATTGTACATTCAATACAGTACACCTTAAAAATTATATTCTATTCGAGGAAAAAGAGAAAATGACGAGTCTATATGTTTGATTGACAGTTTTATAACCATCCTTTTGGTGAATCAATGAACATACTTGCAATATATTAAAAAAAAACAAGCATACAACAATAAGGTTCTATGATTCTGCTGTACAAAATTAAATGAAAATGATTATGAGCCAACCTGGTGTGGCACTTCATTCCTGCGGCGCTTACGTCTTAGCTTTGAAACAAAGAATGCAGAATCTTCACATATTCCAACCCAATCCCCATTTAAAAGTACCTTTTGCTTTCCATGGAGTGAGGTGGCACTATCATCTACTAACTTTTGCATCCCACACCGGTACAACGTCTCAAGAAGTGGCTTCAAAATAGTTGTGCTGACAAGACCCATACTCGCCAAGTTTTTCACCAGGCCACAATTTTCTCCATCTGGGGTGGAGAGAAAACATACCTTTCCCCAGTGTGAAGGATGTCTGAATAAGTTATTTTAACACTCATTAGATTATCATACTTAAGTTAAACAGAACAAAAAAAAATATTGAATCACAATGCATAAAAGCTGATATCTAGAGCATTAGAAATTAAAACACCCATGTTCATGAAATAGATGTGTACACATCTCAACTTGTTAAGCATCCAAAAACGACCAATTAACCAGCCAATCCAGAACACACATTAGATTATCATACTTAAGTTAAACAGAACACAAACAAATTACTCGATCACAATGCATACATGCTGATATCTAAAGCATTAGAAATTAAAACGCCCATGTTCATGAATATAGATGTATACACATATCAACTTGTTAAGCATTCAGAAACGACCAACTAACCAGCCAATCCAGAACACACATTAGATTATCATACTTAAGTAAACAGAACACAAACAAACTACTCGATCACAATGCATACATGCTGATATCTTTTTTTGATGAAGTAAATATCATTAAATGGCATCAAGTAGATGCAAAAGGGAGCATAAAAGAGATGATAATGTCAGCTCCATGACAAAGGATCAGTTAATGTTCAGGGAGCCAACAAAATTCAAAAAATTAACTGGACAAAGTACAGGTTTAACGAAATTCCAACTGTAAAGGCTAACTAAGCAAAAAGCCTTCAAAGTGTGAGTTGGAGTTGAGATTCCATTGAAACATCTGTGGTTGTGGTTCCTTTCATTCCATACATGCTGATATCTAAACCATTAGAAATTAAACATGCCCATGTTCTTGAATATAGATGTTGAGATATATCAACTTGACGAGTATCCAGAAAAGACCAGTTAACCAGCCAATTAGGAGTGGCAAACGAACGGGTCGGGTCGGATATGGTTCGGGTCGAAAACGTGTAATGAAAAAACGGATACGTTATCCGATCCGACCCATATTTAATACGGATAAAAAATGGGTGAACCGGCGAATAATATGGGTAACCATATTATCCATGACTTCTTGCATATTATCACTTTTGGGAAAATTCTTAGTCCCCCTAACTTGAGGAACCCCCAATTTGAGGCTTTACAAATGTAAAAGTTAGACCCATTGGTTTTTCATTTTCTAAATGGATAATATGGTTCTTATCCATATTTGACTTGTTTTTAAAAAGTTCATTATCCAACCCATTTTTTAATGGATAATATGGGTGGTAAACTGTTTTCTTTTAACCATTTTGCCACCCCTACAGCCAATGTAGACATATAAAGATGAATCAAACTCAGTAAGCATACTAAACTAACATCCATACATTAGGTCAATATACCTAGATGTCATATTATAAACTAGGACAGAAGGTAACTCAATGTCCCAAAATGCCAAGTACCAGTAAAAAGACAGTACAGCGAGCCTTGAATCTGAATCACATTTCAAAATAGAGAAGACTATAAGAAACACCTTATGTCACATATCATACCAGTCTAGCCCTAGCCCTATGTGCTCCGTAATCCACAAGTCTCTCATACATCCCAAGAAAGAGGATTCTGAGAGTTGAGACATAAAATTGAATATACACTTAGACTTCTACATCAAAATTAGTTGTATGATATCCTTCTCTCTCATCTTTACAATCTTACGGTACAGTATCAGTGCAAAATTCAAAATAGAATCTGACAACAATTAGACATTGAACTGTTTTCCCATAATGCTACATCCTTGAGCCTTCAGAACCAATTGCCCAGACCTAAAGAGATATAATGTTGTTTTCTTGGTGAATTTGGTCAGATCTCAATCCATCTCCAGTGGATGAGTCTGCTCAATAGACTTGAATATAGCTGATATGTCCAGGGTAAAGCTGATGGTAAAAGACAGGCAAGATCCCTACCTCCATCATTTTCAATGGCAACTTCTGTTACATGGCATGGATCACTGGAGAGAACAACCGAATTACTGTCATTGGGAATGTTCGGAGGAAATGAAATTCCCAGATGTGGGCTATCCAAGACTAGTGCCAGTTTACGGTATGTTGCATACTTCATCATGCCTTTGTTCCCCATTGCATCCTCAGTTTTCAAGAAACTTGAGATATAAATGAGGGACTTCCCAAGGAAAGGAGCAAATGGAGACAGAAAAAATCCACCTGGTCAACACTTCTGAAAAAATGCTTGATCAACTGGCAGAGGGTCACAACTACAACCATATGGGGATTCGGGATAAGAAGACTAGACGTTTTTAGGCTTGTTCTTTTTGGAAAAATTGCTAAAAAATTTCACTTGTGTGCAAAATACACAGTGGAGAGGTGATTTAGACGTGAAGTATGGAAGTGGTCTATGGGTAGTTGTCAGATGAAATCACAACATTATATATCAGAATGTCATACGAGACAACCTTATGGAAAAGGATTATGAAAGGAAAAAGAAACCTCCCAAGATTCATAATGTCCAAAGACGGGAATGGAACAGAATCAATTTTGGCTTTACATTTGAAGTTGGTAGTTTGGCTCAGCTTTGTAAGATGAATCTCCCTATGTACTCTCCATTTCAATTGAAAAGGCAATGATTGCAGGTTCTTAATTGGGATGAAGGACAATAAGTATGGACATGTCAAAAAAGAAGATGCATACAGGAAGCACTTAGGATTTGAAAATGGGTAAAGTGAAAAGTCCCGGACAAGCTTTACAACATTACAAATTTTCAGGAGGTTGATAAGATAAGTAGTTCCTCCATTAGGTCATATGACAATCACATAAAGAATGAAGTTGACTCAAAGCCCCACTAAGATTCACTTTGGAAAACAAAACCTCCTAAGAAAGTAGTCGTTCCCTACATGGTGCTCAATCCATGGAGCAATCTTAACAGGGGAAGATCTAAGAAGAAAGGATGCATTGTTGCGAGTTGGCGTGCATGTAAACTGTCAATGGCACATTGAAGCGGATCACCTCCTAGTACGTTAGCTCTGGTTTAAAATTAACGGCAACAATAATATCCATCTCCAGCATGCAATGCACCCTAGAAGAATATTGAAACAATGGCACATTGGCGGATAAACGAAGTGGATACTAAAAGGAAAAAAACATTTGGAGTATAACATGATTCCATATCTTTCAGCTATTATGAAAGAAAGGATCAAGACAACTTCTGAAGAGGAATTCAATACAAGTTCCAAAACTCGCTTGTTTCATTTGCTTAGCGCACTGGGTTTCCCCTTTTTATAATATATAATTGGCTAGACTTTTTGGAGGAATGAGGCATACCTGAATTAGACAGCATTCATATATCTATCACTGTCTTGGTGCATATTTTTTAAAAAAAAAAAAATATTGAAGTCTAAAATAGCACTTCTACCACAAACTATGACAGAATGGAACAAAGGATCAAGACGTAAGACAAATAAAGTCACCACCTTTGCTAAGCATAAAAAAAAACATGGTCGATAATTACAAACACTTACGGGTATCTAGCATCGCCAACCTTCCCAGTGTATGTAACCTGCTGACGTGTTTTCCTCATATCAGCAGTCATTTGCAAAGGATTGGTTCGTCTGATAGTTGCTACTACACCAGAGACCCTCTCCATTCTCTTGTAAGGGTGACACCAGTGTCCAGTGGAAAAGGCCCTGGAGAGACCATTTGTAATAATAGATGCATCAAGATAGTGCTCAATTGGTTGAACTTGTCGATCTCCGTAAAGATCTCTTTGCATTGCCTTCAGCATACGCCTCTCAGCATGTTTAATGTGCGCCCTGAGCTCTCGTTCAAGGAGCTCACCAGCCAGCTCCAATCTCTTGTTCCGAAAATCATCTCTGTTGTCAACTTTTCTGCGACCAATAAAAGCGTGCAAGAGGGACTTTACCATATAGCCAAGGAAGCGAGCCTTCTGCTTGAGACCACTAAGATTAGGGAACAGGTATTGTTGTATGCACTCCTCAACAGACTCTTGAGGTGGAAATCTACAACCCTTTATAAGTCTATCAACATAAGCGAGAGCCTTTTTCCCCTTCCTGAAATCCTCACACTTCTTATCAGCATCGTGGATTGAAGCTACTAGTATATTGACAATATTAGTATCTTCAATATCCACATCAATTAAATTTACTACCTCCCTGTCAGAGGATACACCTAGAGCAAAAAACAAAATCCAAATTGGCATTTCCGCCACTGAGAAGTACACAGTAAGGGCCTTTTCTGCTCCCTTTATGTGCTCAAGCTTCAAGGTCTCAGCCAGTTTAATATAGACTCTATTCCTTTTTGCAACTGGGCGATATGCAACCGTCCAAGTGGGACTGTTTGACACCCAGAGTCTTTTTAAACAGATCTGCTCCTGTGCGATGAAGGTCTGAAATGGAAATTGCAAGAAGTATCAATGTTTAAGCAACTGTGATAGGAAATTTAATCAAAAAGGCCAAAAAAGTTAAACAATATTCTATCTTAGTATACTAATAATAGCATGAGTGTAGAAGGCATGCCCAAAGTTACATATATTCCCTCAATCCCGAAAATAGTACGAGAGGAAAACACATTTAATTTTCGATGTGAATTAAGTATTCATTCTTTTTTTCTTTTTCTGTAATAAATATTACATATTTAGAAACAACATAAAAGAACTTAAATCATAAACTTTTAGCACTAAAAGCATTTAGAAAATGTTTTGAAAGTTGTAGTCAAGAAAAAAGCTACTATTTGATTTCCCAAAATAGTACTTTTTCATTCTTCTTTTTTTTTTTTTTTTTTTTTTTGAGAAGGCGTACTTTGCCATTCTTTTTGGGACAAAGGAGGACTATATAAGCAGAAAAGAGAAAAGATTGCATTACTCAGCTTGAAGCTTGAGAACAAAACTTATGCATATAAGAATAGCTAAAGATTCTTTAAAGGCAATAACTTTTTTTTTATAAGGTAAGTTTTCTAACAGAAGAACCAATTCTTCAAAGGCAATAATACTAACCTGTATTAGCATCACATCTTCTAAAATTTGAGCAAATATTTTGGTTAAAAAGTGTTAATGTGTAGTAAAACAGCTGACATGGCTGTATTTTGAACTGTATCTTTTATTTTCCCTTTAGACTCGTTAGTGCTTGAACAGTATACTAACTACGACCAACTGTCCATCCTTGTTTGTTATGCCCTCTTTAGGTAGAAGAGATGGAGGCATCAAGTGTGAGTTGCTAGCAGGTAGATCTTACCTTTTCAGCCCCTTTGACTATGAAATACCCCCCATGATCAAATTCACAATCAGGCTTGTCAACACCATTCATCCAGCACAACTCTGAGTTCACCATCACAGGGATTCTCCCAATCAAGACATCCCTTTTGTCTTCCATCTCACACTCCTTGTCAACAAACTGGTCTACCCCAGTTTTGAACTTGTCGCTTCTAACTAGCTTTTTAGTATACACCTGAAATCATATACAAAGGCAGCCAGTGAAACTAAAAGAAAGAGAGAAGACTAGCATAGGGAAAATAAATGACATGCTGGATATTTCTCAATGCTAACTGGAAAAGCTGTAATTGCATGACATGGATGAGAAGGGATTTTAGGTTAAAATATCAAAGTATTAAGGATAAGGAATCCATGCAGCTCAGAGCTCATAATTCCTTTGTGATGACCATTTTCTTACTTTTCATAAGATGGGCAATGCATTTAATAAAGAACTATTCAAGAGAGACCAGCAAGATTGGCAACTTAATCTACAGGAAAACAACACAACGCAATCATTTTAAAACATAGCTGGCCAATTCAAAATAGAGAATAATAAGAAAATGAATGAAAATAAAAAAGAGAAATTGATACGCAAAGAATTATAGGCAAAGCAAAAACAAACATTGTCTTACCTGAACATGAGTCTCAACCATAATCCTGGCAGAGTAGGTCATGTTCTGAAGGCGAGCATGCCGTGGCCACAAGTCCAGGTACTCTTTCCCACCGTCCACAGAAAACTTTTCCCCTGCCCAAAACCTTGGCCGCTCAAGGGATACTTTCCCAAACTTAACAGAAGCATGCTTCCAATCACCATCACCTCTCTTTGATGGATCATACCCTGGCTCAACATGGATCTCTCCAACCAAGTCAAACACTCTTTGGATTCCAAAGTTGATGAAGTCATTATAGGAATTAATCTGATGACTAATCAAGCCATACTTCTCAAAAAAACCAGTTGATGCCTTTTTACAAAAGTTCTTCAAGAAACCTTCACCCAACTCTTTGATTGGAGCCACATCAAGATTATCATCATCGTCCTCGTCCTCATCCCAATCATCATCATCCACTTCAAAGAGATCATCAATATCAAAATCCATCATCGCTGATCCATTTGATATCTTCCCTTTACCACTACTACATCCCACTTCATCCATGATATCAGAAGTCGTCATATGAATGAAGCGCCTGCATCGAGAAGCACCTATTGACATTAATTTAGTTCCAACTTGTGGTGTGCACAAATATGATCTCTCCTTTCAAAAAGCATATTCAATCAGTAGTACAGTCCAGTTGAAATTCGAAAAATTAGAAACTTTCACTATTTTCCAAGCTCCTTCCAGGAAGGCCAAATCAGTATTTTCTCTAAAAGGAAAAAGAGGGAGGACTAAGGTTTGGTTTTTCATTTAGAAAACAATAAAACAAAATCCAGATGTAAGCAACAAAACAAAAGACTAAATAAATGTCTATTAGGTGAAAACTGGGATTGCTTGGTGAAATTTGCTCTTTAATGTAAACTGTGTTTGCAGGAGTATATGTAACTTTGTGCATGCCTTCTAAAGAAATTATGAGAAATTCCAAAACCGCAATGAGTTATGATGAGAGCCAACAGAGAAAAACAGGAAAACAAGCTCGATTCGAATTTATTTACCCTAAGCATTCATCCATCAAATCACAAAAACTGAAAACCTCGAAAACCAAAGCTTCACCAGCATTTCAGAAAACAAAAATTATATGAAATGTATAAGCTACCCATATTACAACCTTTTTTTTTAAGGAAACCCTTTAAGTGCTTTCAACTTTTCCTGAAATGTAAAAAAACTACCTTTAAAATCTCCTTTTCCTTTTTTGTCACCTCTAGAAAATCCATAAAGTGCTTTCAATATTTTCTGAAAAGTATAAGCAACCTTAAATTAAAATAAAATTCTTTTTTACCTAAAGACAACCCATAAAGTGATTTCAACTATTTTTAGGGATTTCAGCACACTGAAATTCCTATTTCAATCAACTTACCTCTAAAACCCTAAACCCAAAAGAATGAAATGGTAACAGAAACATAAGAAATCGACATGCAAGAAGTATCGGACAAGTATTTAACTTTTTTTTTTACTTTCTACTTTCAGAATTAGCTGAAATCAATTTCATATCCCTAAAACCCCAGTGCTCAAATTTACTATTTATAAACTTTAAAGCGCAAAAAAAAAATCAGATGAATCTGCATTATACCTGTATTGATTTTAATAAAAGAAAGCTGTTAAGAATGGTGAAAACAAAGATTACTTAAAAACAAATACCAAAATTGAAGCGAGTCTCAGAACATTATCGAGAAACCCCGCATTTTCTGAATATTTTAAAGATTTAGCAGAAAAATTAAGAAAAAGAAGCATTGTTGAACGAAGAAGAGAGAAAGACTTACAAAGTAGCGTAGCTTCTTCTGTTTTACTGAAATTTTTGAGAGCCAAACCCTTTTTTATTTTCACCAGGTCAGTGAGCAAGAGCAGTGAGTATTGATTTTCGTCAAGGAAACAAATAAGTACTGACTCAATGACACCTTGACATGTGTCCCTAAATAAATTAAAGTAGTACTCCCTTGTGTCCGTCCTTTTAATCGGTTAACGTTGGAAGAAAATACTCTGCTTTCACTTTTAGTTATCCACTATTTTAAAAATAAAATTTTAATTTTACTTATCCACTTTCTCATATTAAGAAAAAAATAAATTAATTTTTCTATTTTGCTCTTAGTATTAATTTACTCATTTCAAATCTATTAAGACTATACACCAATTAATATAAGTATCATGGTAAATTATGTATTTTATTTATTATTAAGAGGTCTGCAAAATTAATAGTGGACAAGTAAAAATGAATGGAGTGAGTATTTGATCATATATAATTTCACTTAAAAGTCAAAAGACATATTTATTTTTTTCAATTTTATCCTTACATTAAAGCTTAGAGTCAATAATGACTCATTTAAGGAACAGAAAAGATAACTTCATAAAATATCTCTTATGATAAATATTATTAACTGATTTTCTTAATATATATTAAAATTGTAAACAGTAGATAAAAAGAATTAAAGGAAATATTTTTAAAGAAAAATAACAATTTCCTGAGTTATTACTCAATTTCAATTTTAATTTTATTCTTGTACTATGCAATTGAGCACATTTATCTTCAATTAAATCAAGTTGGTTAAATGATTAACAGAAGCTAATAGAAGTTAGCTCGAACTAAGGGCAACATTGGATTTCTTTTTGCCCTACTTGGTGATGAAAACCAAGAAGATACTATTCTCAAGGGGTTTTTATTTTTTTTATTTTGAAATATTGGAACAATTAGATGAAATATATTCATCTATATACAATATTATAGGTATTGTCACACCCCTTTTCTACCCCTCCAAAAAATAATGTGTGTTATGGATTGTGGGTTAAAAAGTTTTTTCTAATTAAAGTGACAAATTTGAAATAGGGATTATTTTGTTATTCAGAGTCGCCACTTGGAATTGATTTTTGGGTGTTCCAAGTCACCTTTTATTTGATCCCTATTCAAAGGAAAGTTTGACTCTTTTATTATTGATCTGCGAAAACAAAGTCCGGGTAAGGAATTCTGTTGACCGGGGAGAAGGTGTAAGGCATTCCCCGAGTCTCGTGGTTCTAGCACGGTCGTTTTATTGACTATATTTGGCTTATACTATTTTTTGGATAACTTGTGTTTTATTGGTTCTCGTCTTTTACTTATGTCCGCTTTATTGCTTGATTAAAATTATGGAAAAAAAAAAGTTTTCTTGAAATAAGTTACGCGTTCTAATACTTATTTTGTTACATATCACAATTATGCCACGGAGACCATACACATAGCCATGATATTTAATTATTTAAAGCGCACATAAATAAACTAGCGCACTTGAAGTATTTTCCTAAACTAATTTAAGATTATTGTAAGGCCAAAAGTTGTGGAATTGTTTGTGGAAAAAGTGTATGATTTTAGATATTTGAATAAATAAATTATCATATACCAATACCCTACATCCCAACAATTGAAGCCTAAACTTATTAGTGTCCAAATCTTCCAAACTTTTAGCAAGTTTAAATACTATATTTTCAGAAACATGATTAAACATATAACATTTAAGGATTGATTTACATTATTATTTATAAAGTTTAAAGATAAATAAATAAAATCACATAAAATAAGATTAGAAAAAAAAGGGAAGAATAAACCTTTTAATGCAAGATTTCCAATTAAATGAGTCTCCAAGAATATGTACAATAACTCAGACGAACGCCGAACAAGCATAAGCAAAGATGATCATCAAAGCCGGTGAACAGAGCTCCAACGGAATCCTCGACCTCGACTGTTAACACCACTCTTTGGCGTGTAAAAGGGGATATTTTGAAGTATTTTTTGTTGGGTTTTGAGGTGTTGAATTGCTGGAAATTTTCGAAAGAAAGAGGAAGAAAGAATAACACGAGTAGAAATTGTCGTAGCGTAGAAGAAGAAAAATATTTCTCTCAATTCTCCCCTCTCTTTTCTCTCCTTTTTTTTCTTCTCATATTTTCTCTTCTATTTATAGCAAAATTTTCGAATTTTTTCATTTTTTTTTTACTTTTTATTTTTTAATTAAAAGAAATCTCACTTACAATTTGCTTTTCTTTTTTATAAAAAGAAATCCCACCTTTATTTACTTTTATTTTTTAAATTCCAACTTTAATTACTTTTATCTTATTTAAAATCTCACTTTTTTTTACTTTTAAAAGAGGATTCCACTTATTTTACTTTTCTTAAAAAAATAACCACTTTCTTTTGCTTTTCTTATAAAAATTCTACTTTCTTTTACTTTAAGTTTTTAAAATTTTCAGCTACTTTTATATTTATTTTTTAATTCCAACTTTCTTTACTTTTTATTTTTTTAAAATTTTCACAAAACTTTACTTTTGATTTTCACTTTCTTTTACTTTTTAAAAGAGAATTCCACCCACTTTTACTTTTATTTTTTTTTATTCCATACTTCCCTTTTTCTTATTTTTTATATCTCACCCGAAAATTTAAAAAAAATTAATATTTTTTCGGATTTTTTTATTATTTTAAAAATAAAAATAAAAAAATAAAATAATAGCAATAGTAATAATTCACCTTTTAAAATTTTGTATTTTTACCCTATAATAAAAAATGTAACAAAGCTAAAAATTGTAGGTTAAAACCCCTAAAATATTTACATAGAAGAAGTGACAAAAAATTAAATATTGTCAAAAATTAGGTGCTCACAGGTATTTTGAATAATTTTTTTATTTTTGTGAAATATATAATCCTATGTTATAATTGAAGATCAAATTTGGTATTTTAGATACATACGAAATGATCCAACTAATTTTTTCCCGTTGATTTAAGATCAAAATTCAAAAGAGTTAATTGTCACATTCAATAAAGATTATTTTCAAACACAAAAAACTAAGGGGTTAAGTAAAATTTGCTTGATTTTCTCTCAATATTTCATTGTCTAGTTATTTATGTTGGGAGAAGACTCTCTCCTACGCACCCAAAAAAAAACACTATGCTGAACAGCCCCTATGTGCATTCCTTTTATCACCTTACTAAAAAGTATTTAGCTGGAATACGCCATCTTAAGTTTATTTTTATTAGAATTAAATCAAGTCAAAATGTACTTTTTTTTATGTCTGGTATATAAAGTCTTGTTTTTATTTTTACTAGTATTAAACTAAATCAAAATGCACTTGTTGCGCTTGTGCATAAAACTTCAAAGTTATACATATTAGTTGTTTAACTCAAAAGATATTGAAACTTTTTTGAACAAATCAATCAAAGAAGATGAAAGGGTAAATCCTAATTAAAGATAATTAACTCTAGATCTGAGATGAATAATAAGAATAGAAAACATAGCCGAGTATAAATATTGGCCTTGATTATGGTCAGATTTAATAGCATAAAGAAAGATGCATTAAATAATATTAAGTGGCAATAAAATATAAATAAAGGAAAAGATTCAATCAATCTTCAGTGAGACGGATCTTCTTTCATTTAATAAAGACGAAGGATAGACAAATATGAGAATCTTAGGACCCTTTTTGGATCCGATGAAGGTATGAGATCACAGATCCTCTAGAGAGATATGTTTACATATTTTCTAGAGAGAGGGAGAGAGAGAGCACCCCTTTTTGGGAAGTCCTCCCCTCTTATTTATAAGGGGATATCCATTGAAACTCCTAAAAAAGGTACAATTTAGAGGGAATATTCGATAGAATATTCCTTTTGATTATTCCAAAGCAAACTTGTTGTTTTATCATTGTCCGACCTCGGCCTTATTGGTGAGTGTCCGACCTCGGCCTGTCCGTCATCGGCCTTAATTATGACTGTCCGACCTCGGCCAATTGATGACTGGCCGACCTCGGCCAATTGGTGATTGTCCGATCACGGCCTGTCCGACCTCGGCCTTATATCTCTGCGTGCCAAATTTATGTGATCTAATTTTGACCCATACATTAATCAAGAACTAATATTTGGAACAACAAATTGACCAAAAAAAAAAGACAACTGAAACTAAAAAAAAAATCAATTTTATATTCGTTTGATTTGGTTTGTAAACCTAAGAAGTTGACATAATTGATTGATTTAAAAAGAAAACAAAACGAATCATGTATATTTGGGGGCGGATGTACAGTATACTCTATGAGTTTGGTTTAACTCAACAAGTGTTACATAGACCATATATATGTGTGTCAAAATTTACTAAATATGTACAGATGTTAAATTTATAATTTAATAACTCAATCAATCAACGAATCTAATATTATCGCGAATAATCCTTGATTCTCATATGTGTATAGCCTTACTAGTGAGTGAGACCTCGAGGCTAAGTAGACGTAGGAATAACATTTAATCGAGGGAGAGAAGAAAACTAAGAGAGGACATAATCACATATATAGTGTTCATTCACAATAAAACTAGGTTCAGTACAGCCCCTCATGGTTATTGTCACAGGGCCAATTTTCGCACTATTGACACTGCATGGCAGTAACTAATCACACAGCCACTCAGCCTTACTTTTTTCGCATACACACACACAGCCTGACACTTAGAATTATTCAGACTTAGCCAATCTAACACACACACAGTATTACGGGTAAAATGACCCAACCTTTATTATTCTCGCAGAATACAAAAAGGACTCTCGTTAGGAAAGGCTCACAATATGCTACTTGCCTTCTTCCCAAAACGAAATGCACATACAAAAGGGGCCTGCCTATGGCAGTTTTACAAAGGGGCAGTTGGGGAAGTTAAGACAATGTGCCATGCACGTGACATTCCTACAAACAAGCATAACCAATCTGTTTGAATTCAAATTCAAACTCTTCCCACGAAATTGGACTTGTCTTCAGCATTTGAGTCAGCTGCACATGTGCTTTGCACACTTCAAAGCACATGCCTTGCACACCTCTTCCGTCACATGCTTTGCACACTTGCCTTCCAGCTTTTGCCCATACTTAGACTCCTGCCTTGCA